TTAAGAAGAATTCCTACATAGTTGGCTAAAAGCTTTTCTTCTTTTTGTAGCTGGTGGGTTGAGAGCAGTTGATGGTAGTTTTGGCTGGATAGGGGTGATACCACTATGCGAATCTTAAAGTATGTTTTGATTTAATATATCTGTTTGTTAGTTCCTTTTTCTACCAGTTGCTAAAAAATTATTTTTGTTTCAGATTTTCTTTGGCAATACTCTTAAGCCTTGTTCAGGGCAGTATTGTGATTGGTAAGTTTATCCGGTTGAATTAAGCAAATTAATTGTCAATACTATTTTTATGATGCCCTTTTGTCTTTTTATTGTAGTTTATGGATCTAGCTCTATAACCAATGTAGGCTATCCTGGATTTTATAGCCCTGAAGCAGATGTTAAGCTACAAAGTTTCTACAGCTGGTATAACCCAAATGTTGCAGGACAAATCAGGCCCCTGGGTTTCAAGAACCTTTATAGTACTGCAGTTAAGGGAGGATATGGCACTGGAAGACATAGTTCTCGGATTGGCTCTTCAGGTGGTCCAGTGACAAGTGGAAAACCTGGCTCTGATTCTGACACTAGAAGCCAGAGTCCGGGATCTCAAGTTGCTTCAGCTGTAAGTGGGAGTCTTGTTTATGGCTCTATGGCTAGTGCAGTGAGTATGGGGATGATGCCATTGCAGCAAAGCAATGATTCTGTTCCCAAGCCAGTACAGGTAGTTTCCAAAATTCCACTGCAAACCAGCAATGAGCGAATGGCAAAGCCCTTCATTCAACCACTAGTGCAGGTAATCTCCCAGCCCAGTGTCCATCAATCAGGACAAGCCAGCTACCAGCCTGTGGGTCAGCCCAGTGGGCCGCAGCCAGTACAAGCCAGCTACCAGTCTGTGGACCAGCCCAGTATCCAACAACCAGCACAAGCCAACTGCAAGCCTGTGGCCCAGCCCAATGTCCAACAACCAACACAATCTGGTTCCCAGTCTGAGACTCCGCCCAGTGGCTTGACCCTCTTCAAGCCCAAAAAAGGTAGATTTCAATTTGGCTCCCTGGTCTTTCCTGATACCATGCCACTCCAGAAACCTAGTTTTAGCTCTGTAGTTCAGTCCAATAACCAACAAGCACGCTACCAGCCTGTGAGCCAGCCCAATGGGCCACAACCAGAACAAGTGAGCCAGCCCAGTGGACCAGAACAAGTGAGCCAACCCAGTGGGCCGCAGACAGAACAAGCCAGCTACCAGCCTGTGAGCCATCCCAGTGGGCAACAAGCAAGCTACAAGCCTGTGAGCCATCCCATTGGGCCACAACCCGAACAAGCCAGCTATCCTTCTGGAACCCAGCCCAGTGGCTTGACTCTCTTCAAGCCCAAAAAAGGTAGAATTCAATTTGGCTCTCTGGTCTTTTCTGGTACCAGGCCACTCCATAAACCTAGTTTTAGCTCTGTAGTTCAGCCCAATAACCAACAAGCCAGCTACCAACCTTTGAGCAAGCCCAGTGGGCAACAACCACAACAAGCCAGCTACCAGCCTGTGAGCCAGCCCAGTGAGCCAGAACAAGCCAGCTACCAGCCCAGTGGGCCACAACAAGAACAAGCCAGCTACCAGCCTGTGAGCCAGCCCAGTGAGCAAGAACAAACCAGCTATCAGCCTGTGGACCAGCCCAGTGGGCCACAACAAGAACAAGCCAGCTTCCAGCCTGTGAGCCAGCCCAGTGAGCAAGAACAAACCAGCTACCAGTCTGTGGCCCAGCCTAGTGTCCAACAACCTGCACAGACCAGCTACCCATCTGTGGGTCAGCCCAGTGGGCCACAAACCGAACAAGCTAGTTTCCAGCCCAGTGGGCTCCAACCAGTACAAGCCAGCTACCATCCTGTGAGCCAGCCCAGTGGGCCACAACAAGAACAAGCCAGCTTCCAGTTTGTGGACCAGCCCAGTGTCCAACAACCAGAAAAAGTCAGTTACCTGTCTGTGGGTCAGACCAGTGGGCCAGAACAAGCCAGCTACCAGTCTGGAACTCAGCCCAGTGGCTTGACCCTCTTCAAACCCCCAAAAAATACATTTAAATTTGGCTCCTTGGTATTTTCTAGTACCAGGCCACTACTGAAACCTAGTTTTAGCTCCTTAGTTCAGTCCAATAACCAACAAGCCAGCTACCAGCCTATGAGCCAGCCCAGTGGGCAACAACCAGAACAAGTCAACTACCAGCCTGTGAGCCAGCCCAGTGAGCCAGAACAAGCCAGCTATGAGTCTGTGGACCAGACCAGTGGGTTGCAACCAGTACAAACCAGCTATCAATCTGTGAGCCAGCCCAGTGGGCCACAACCAGAACGAGCCAGCTACCCATCTGTGAGCCAGCCCAGTGGGCCACAAACAGAACAAGCTGGTTTCCAGCCCAGTGGGCTCCAACCAGTACAAGCCAGCTACCAATTTGTGGCCCAGCCTGTTGACCAACAACCAGCACAAGACCGCTACCAGTCTGGGACTCAGCCCAGTGGCTTAAACCTCTTCAAGCCCAAAAAAGGTAGATTTCAATTTGGCTCCCTAGTCTTTTCTGGTAATAGACCACTCCAGAATCCTAGTTTTAGCTCTGTAGTTCAGTCCAATAACCAACAAGCCAGCTACCAGCCTATGAGCCAGCCCAGCGGGCAACAACCACAAGCCAGCTACCAGCCTATGAGCCAGCCCAGTGGGCAACAACCACAAGCCAGCTACCAGCCTATGAGCCAGCCCAGTGGGCAACAACCACAAGCCAGCTACCAGCCGATGAGCCAGCCCAGTGAGCCAGAACAAGCCAGCTACCAGTCTGTAGAACAGACCAGTGGGTTGAAACCAGTACAAACCAGCTACCCATCTGTGAGCCAGCCCAGTGGGCCACAAACAGAACAAGCTAGTTTCCAGCCCAGTGGGCTCCAACAAGTACAAGCCAGCTACCAATCTGTGGGTCACCCAAGTGTGCCACAACCAGAACAAGCCAGCTACCCATCTGTGAGCCAGCCTAGTGGGCCACAAACAGAACAAGCTAGTTTCCAGCCAAGTGGGCTCCAACCAGTACAAGCCAGCTACCAATCTGTGGGTCAGCCAAGTGTGCCACAACCAGAACAAGCCAGCTACCCATCTGTGAGCCAGCCTAGTGGGCCACAAACAGAACAAGCTAGTTTCCAGCCCAGTGGGCTCCAACCAGAACAAGCCAGCTACCAATCTGTGGGTCAGCCAAGTGTGCCACAACCAGAACAAGCCAGCTACCTATCTGTGAGCCAGCCCAGTGGGCCACAAACAGAACAAGCTAGTTTCCAGCCCAGTGGGCTCCAACCAGTACAAGCTGGCTACCAATCTGTGGGCCAGCCAAGTGTGCCACAACCAGAACAAGCCAGCTACCCATCTGTGAGCCGGCCCAGTTGGCCACAAACAGAACAAGCTAGTTTCCAGCCCAGTGGACTCCAACCAGTACAAGCCAGCTACCAATCTGTGAGTCAGCCAAGTGGGCTACAACCAGTACAAGCCTGCTATCAGCCTGCGAGCCAGCCCAGTGGGCCACAACCAGAACAAGCAAGCTACCAATCTGTGGGTCAGCCAAGTGGGCAAGCACAAGCCTGCAACCAGTCTGTGACCCAGCCCAGTGTCCAACAATCACAAGCCGGTGAATGGTATGTGAGTCAGCCCAGTGGTCCACAACCAGAACAAGTCTGCTTCCAGTCTGTGCCCCAGCCTGCTGACCAACAACTAACTCAAGCTGGCTACCAGTCTGTGGGTCAGTCCAGTGGGCTGCCACCAGAACAAGCCAGCAACCAATCTGTGTCCCAGCCAGCTGACCAAAAACCAGCACAAGCCAGCTACCAGTCTATTGTCCAGGAGAGTGGACAAACTGTTTTCAAGCCAATGACATCTCAAGGGGGACAACTTTTTCAGATTGGGTCCAAGCTTTATTCATGCCAGCAGTTTGCATCACAGCCCAGTTACCAGCTTGCAGCCCAACCAGGACAGACTAGGTATCAGCCTCAATCCAGACCTAGTTCTCCATACTTAACTCGGCATACAGAGTCTGTTGTACAGCCCAGTTACATGGACCCAGTGAAGCTTGGGCAGCCTCCCAGACCACTGCAGTCCACACTCCAGTCTGTTTTCAGACCAGCTCAGCTGCCTGGCCAGCCTAGGTACTGGGCCCTAGTGCCTCCAAGCTTCTTGCCTCTTGCTAAGCCTGGACCATCCAGTTATGGTTTTGTATCACAGCCCAGTGGTCAGCCTTCGAGGCAACTGCACCAGCCTGGCTTCCAGCCTCTGGCCAAGCCAGGGCAAAGGGTTTATCAGTCCCTAGTGAAACCTGTACAATCCAGCTACACACCCTCAAGCAAGCTGGAAAATCTCAGTTACCAGCCTCAAATACTGCCTAGCCGCCAATCTCTAGGTCAGTCCAGCTACAATTACCTTGCCATGCCAGTGCAATCTAGGTACCAGGCACAGTCAAGTTCTGAGACCGTTTCTCAGTCCGGATACGAGACAACTTCCATAGCAGGGCAGTCAGATTCCCAGCCTAAAATGCTGACCAGCAGCCAGTCTCTAGCTCAGTCTGGCTACTCTTCCACAGCCGTACCAGTGCAGTCTAGATACAAGCCTCAGGTACAGTCAAGTTATGAGACGGTCTCAGAGCCTGGATTCCAGACCTCTTCAATTCCTGGGCAATCGAGTTCCCAATCTGCATCCAGATCAAGTTCCCAAGCCCTGGAGCAGCCTAGCAGTAACTTTGAGTCTGCATTGCAGTCAGTACAACCTGGTCTTCAATTTCCAGCACAGTGGAATTACCAGTCTGTCAAAGGTTCAAATGCTCATCGATCTGCTCAACGTAGGTCACGGTCATCCCAGAGCAGGTTCAGGCTGTTGTAACTTTTCCTTTTTTTTTTTTCTTTTTTTTTTTTTTATACTTGTGTTTGGTGTTTCCTGTTTTTGGCTGATGTTTTAATAAAATATCGTAAGCAAATGCCTGTTTTGTTTGTTTGAAGTGAAGACTAATTTTGTAACTTACCTTTTGTTGGTGGTTGACACATCTGAAAAGAAATTAAAAGGTGGGGGAAAATGTAAGGATCTTGTAAAGTCAACTAGTTTAATTTAATTGGTAAAACCTTTACACTGAACAGGTGCATGTACTAAAATTGTTAGCAATCTATGACAAATCCTTGCAGTATTTTCTCAAAACTTAGTTCATTAAAAGAATAGTTCACCCAAATGAAAATTACCCCATGATTTACTCACTCTCAAACCATCTTAAGTGTATATGACTGACTTTTTTCAGATGAATACAATTGAAGTTATATATAAATATTCTGGGTCTTCCAAGCTTTATAATGGCAGTGAATGGTAAATGAGATTTTGAAGCTCAAAGTGCATCCATAATGTACTGATGAATGTGGAAGTTCAGAAGGCCTTAACTTCGTATGGAGTACTTTTGTCATGGATGTATGCACTTTTTTGGGCTTCAAACTCTCATTTTCCATTCACTGCCATTAAAAAGCTTGGAAGATCCAAGACATTTTTTATTATAACTCGGATTGTATTCGTCTGAAAGAAGAAAGTCTTATATAGGATTGCTTGGGGGTGAGTAAATCATGGGGTAATCTTTTTGGGTGAACTATCCCTTTAATTCCCAACAAACGAGTTCTGCGGTGAATACTTAACATGTGTGGGAATGACTGAAAAAACAAACTTACTAGCGTTATGAGAACCGGTACACTCCTGAGCAGCAGCGGAAACTGTAGTGATGGCTTGAGATAGATCTGCATGTTTTTCCTGAGTTTCATTCCATTTGCTTGAATGTGTCTTAAGCTCACTGCATTTCCCTGATGTCTCCTCTCCAGAGGCAGTCTTGCCCTTTTGTTTGCCAATATCATCTTCAAATTCAAATTTCTCTCTCTGCTCTTCGTTCTCCACATCCTCCTCCAGCTGCTGGTGAGATAAACCTTTGGACATATGCTCTGTAAAACAAGGGTCAAATGTTATTCTGTACATCATGCTATAAATTTAGAAGGCAGCATCTCATTACTGACAAAGTTGGAAATTGTGCTGTGAATGTGGTACAAAGTCCAGTCATTTATTAATTTACCAAATGTTTTTATCCAAAGTTACTTATGAATGAGTAATGATGCAAATGAAAACCAGAACTGTTGCATGGGCTGTGCAAAGTGTGGCTGCACAAGGCCTCATCAATTGACAGAGGTGGTGAGTTATCGCTCAACATCAGTGGCGGAGCCAGGGGGTGGCCAGGGGTGGCCATGGCCACCCTTGGCTTAAGCTTGGCCACCCCTTTGGCCACCCCTCTCACAACTTCTGTTTCTATCTCGCTCTATTTTTTCTTTTTCTTTTTTTCTTTCTTACAAGAATTGCGTTTTTAAAACACAGAACCGTCTCTTTAAGACCACAAAAAACGTGAGACTTTTCAGACGCGCACCCCAACTTCACCTCAGCGCCAGGCGCAAGTCAAACGAGTGCGGAAATGTACAGGTGCCGAATAAGCTTCAGCAGTGATCGGAGCATAGTAAATACAGATTCGAACATTCGATGTTCCTCAACTGGTGGGTTGCATAACCGTTTTGAGTGAGTCGCATATGTGCAGTCAAAGAAACAACAACGTAATTCTCTTTTTTTTCTGATGCTACTTTTATTTTGAACGATCTGTGTGAAAGCGTGTGACACTTCTGTCAGATGCGGAGAAAAACGCGTTGTCCTGAATCAGTAGGACTGCGGCAAGATGAGATGTTGTAAGGTCAACAAATGTCAGTAAAACTAACTTTCCGGTCCTGTCAGCCGTTGTACTGTACTTGCACATCACGCGCAAATGTGGCGTGCTGTAGTTTTCTGTCGTCAATTAACTCATGAAATAATCAAAAAGGCGATCAAATCTGTGTCAAAACTGCATGCATGCATGTATTTGTTATATATGCATCACATATGTCTCGACTAAAATATTCTGCCATGTGAGATCACAATTAAAGGCACAAACTGATAGGCTATGTAATTTTTTAAATAAATGTGAGCACTGTGCATTTGTACTAGAAGATATAGGCGGTAATTTTACATTAATTTGTAAAGGACAAACAAAAATGGATAATTTTTAAATTCATAAAATAACAAATTTTACATTCTGGCATTTATGTGCTGTTGACTTCCGCCTTGTTCACATTCTTGCACATAGGGATTCAAAAGAGATGTTTACCCCCCTTTTTAATTTAGGTATATTATTTATTTTGACAACTAATAGCCTATAGAAAGTTGAAGTTCATTGATTATATAAAATTCAATGAAGGTTAAATAATCTTTGAACTACAGTAGGCTATCTGCATGTCTCATCCATGAAGGTGCAACAATGTTAGGGGTTTTGAGAACCAGAACCAAGCTAACTGAGCAAGTTGAACTTTAGCTATAGTGCGTGTCCCCTTTATTAATATGCCTGGAGGTGGTAAGTAATAATAATAATAAAAAAGATCAAATTCACTCAGTATTCCATGATTCCTAATTCACTACTATCTCAATTACAATTCAGTACAAATTAACTGTATTCAGTTGTGTAGGAAGGCACTAAAACAGTCCAATACATTATTTAAACAAATTTTTATGTTAAAATAATTAAGATTTATGTGCCACCCCAGACTGTTTGCTGGCCCTTGCCTGGCCACCCCTATGAAAAAATCCTGGCTCCGCCACTGCTCAACATAAAATGAGCACCTCAATGATTTCCGCATTCATTTTAAATGCATATCAAACAAACTAATAATCGAAAGCACTCAGTTATTGTTTTTGTTGGTGTAGCTGTTCTGCATTGATTAGTTATGTATCTGTCAAATTTTCCTCAAGCATTGATTGCTTCTGGAAACATATAACAAATGGAAAAATTTAAACTGAACAAATTTCACAGACCGTACTGAGATCAGCTCAAGCCTAAGACTGGGTGGTGGGTGGTAGGAGAGAAGGGAGAGTTCAGATGCCATCAGCCCCACATAGTCAGTACCACAAAAAGCACTTGTTTCATTATGAGTGCTACAGTGTTTTATGTAGGGAGCTTAAACTTGTGAAAATGGAAATGTGGTAGAGTATGTAGAAAGTCAGATAACTATGCAATGAGTTATTTTAACTTCATATAATTTGATTAAATTGAAATAAATGCTTAGTTTTGCAAGCCCGTCAACTCATTAGTGTTGCTTATTTAACTACAAAAATTGAAATGTATTTCAGCATTCAACCTCCACAGTGTACTGCAGGTTTTAATAGTGCTTTATGTTTTAATAAAGGATTTATGGACCACTTTGAACTTCTATGGAGGGAAAAAAATGTCCTTCTAAAATATCATATAGATGGCAAAATATATTAGGCTCTTTTCAGTCCCGTATTGATTTTAGGTTAGTTTCCAAACAACTTTTTGAGAAGGTCCTCTGTTGGTATTTTAGTGACCCCTCTCACTGATCATAAAGCTATATATATATATATATATATATATATATATATATTAATTTGTCCCTTACTCAGGATTATAATTACAGAGCATCATTCTGGAAAATGAATATCTCTCATCTGAAACATGACTGTGTTAAGCTTGGTTTAGAAGCTTTAATTTCAGATTTTCATGATAAAGCTACAAATTAGAAAAAAATTAGCCTTTATCGGGAACTGTTTAAATCTGAGGTGGGGAAATATCTAGGAAGATATGGTAGTGATTTAGCTAGAAAGAAGAGATCTGAAGAAAATTATGTCATTTATAACATAACATTTCTTTCCCCAAAACCCATAGAAACGTTGTCTGACCATGAAAATGTGGAACTATCTAATTTGCAGAATAAGCTAGACGTGATATATAGAACCAAGTCTGAAGGAGCTTTTATTAGATAGGTAGCGTTGGTTAGAGCACGGAGAACAAAATTCATCTTATTTTTTTAAACTTGAGAGACGTAATTCTAATTATAATACCATTCATAAATTACAGATTAATGGACATATATCTGAGAAACCAAGAGGAAGTGCACAATTTTTGTGATGATTTTTATATGCATTGTATAGTCCCTCTTTTTATCATGGAGCTACGTATGCTTTTTTCAATTCACTACTTGGTTGTTGTAAAATTAGTGGGGTAGATATAAACACGTGTGACCAAGCCATTAATCATCTTAAACTTAACAAATATGTGGATGGTTTGTCTTCTGAGTTGAACAGATTGTTTGAAAAAATATTAGCTACTTTACTTTTGCAAGTTTTCAAAGAAAGTATTTTAAAAGGCTCTGTTCCCCCTACACTTACACCAGGCCTTATTACATTACTCCCAAAGCCTAAGATGTTCTTTTTCTTGACAATTAGCACCCGATATGTCTTCTTAATAATGATTACTAAATTTCAGCTTTAGTTTTTGCTAAGCGTCTTAAAAAAAGTAAAAGACTAGATAAATCTCAGTCTGTTTTTTTTATCGGGGAGGCATATTTCTAATATTATTAGATTAGTAGATATTATTGATTAGGGCTGGACGATTTTGGATAAAATCATAATCACGATTAATCAAACAAGTTACCTTGATTACGATTATTGAAAGATTTTTTTTTTTTTTTTAATGTCACTGGCAAGGCTTATACTGTAAATATGTTCACGGTTATTTTTTCTAATGAAAGAGTGCATAATCCTATCTTTGTGATTCTAAAATAAGGAAACACACAGCTCTATTAATGCTTATTTATTAAATATTTCAAACAATTGAATCAAACAAAGCATACAATGTTGAAATAAAAACGTCTTATAAAAAAGTCATTTAGGTTTTAATGTAAAAAGAAAGTTTCCTAAAAATGTAAAATAAAGAACTTTTAAATAGTTATTTTTGTAAACAAAATAAATTATTGTAAATATTGCCATCTTAAAAGTAAAATATAACTTGTATAAAACTAAAAAACTAATCCTTTTACACTGCGTGTTTCTTTATGGTAAGCGGCTCCTATTGCTGAGTTGACTCTTGAGTTCCCCTCCATAGCCCCTTAAGATTCCGGAAAATACACGGATGATTTGACCCGGGTTCGTTTGACTTTGGTTCATTCACACTGCCAGTGGTTTTCCGGAATCAGAGAGTGCGTTCACACACACACACACACACACACACACACACACACACACACACACACAACCCGTAAAAATCCCGTAAAGACACGTAACACATCGATGTGACATGTAATGTCTCAGCAGCGTCTGCTTATGAGCTGCGATTTCTCTCTCGAGAAACCACGCTTGTGCTTTTTTTTTCTCTGATTCGATCATTAACGCTGGCGAACAACAGGCTTCAGCGCCATCATTACGACACGGCATTGAAGCCCCCAACACCGCCAGCGACACGCAGCGACAAAGCGACATGATCCCATTCATTTCAATGGAGCGCTTGCCTGGCGACATCCGGCGACTCGAGCGACAGTGACCGTTGGCGACAGAATGTGGGCGTGTCAAGCGACAAGAGACAAGCGACAAAAGTTGAGAAATTTAAACTTTATGCAAATGAGAAGCGATTTTCGCGAGCGACAACCAATAGGAAAAAAGACTTTCTGTGGAGCTCACGTGGAGTGCAGGCAAGACGGTTACTAACGGAACCTCGGTTCCCTGAGAGGAGGGAACGAGTATTGCATAAGTAGCTTACGCTGTGGGAAAACTCCTTTTCTCGAGAAATATTGAAGTCTTTATGTAAAACGCATTGCAGCTGCACAGCATACAGCAATGAGCAAGGCAGCTCGGTCATTGGCTGTGCTGCGGCAACTGCACGAACCTATGACGGGGCGACTCTGAACCCGCTTCCAATGAGCGTGCTTCGCGTCCGCGCGCGTCAGAGCCCGCCAAGATGGGCGTGGCCAAGGGCTATATATTGGGCGTCCCGTCGTCTGAGTTCTTTAGGTTCAATCGACTGAAGCGAACTGACCAAGCACAAGCACAGCAGCTTACGCAATACTCGTTCCCTCCTCTCAGG